GGTTTCGTGAGTCGTTGGCTTCTTGGTTTTAGCAAGTTTCGATTTCGCGGTGCCTGCCTTTTCTGCCTCTGTTCAAAGTCGAGGAATAGCCAAAATGTGATTTCTCAGCCCAAGGGAGTCCCGACTTAGGACAAACACTGGTCTAGCCCTGGCTGCGATTTCTAGGTCGTAGGAAGTCACTGTCTCGTCCTAGAAAGGCAGAGTTACCCTATGACCCCCCCCCCCCCCTTTATTTTTTCCCCAGCAGCTTCGGGTTTCCTGTAGGCTCGGATTTCTCATCAAACAATCCCGGAGTTAGCCCTGCCTCAAGTTTCTTGGTCCTAGCAAGTTACGGTTTCATACTAGTAAGCCCTGCTTTAGCTGCGCAGGGGATGTTTAACTCCTGTAGAAATCTGTGTAACAGCAATTGCGATTTTTTTAGGTTTAGTGATGACCAGTTTAACAATGACGGGGAGCATTGTTATCATGTTTGGTTTCGCAATAGCAGGTCCCGCCTTAGCTATTCCTGTGTTTTTGAAACTCCCCTGGAAGTCAGGAAATGCCGGCCAATGCGATTTCTCCGTTTTACCAAGCTCTGTTTGACAGTAGCAAGTCTCGTTCAACTCGACTTTTTCTCTTGTGGACCAAGTAGGGATATACCAGCTCCTGCGATTTTTCGCTAGTAGTTAAACAGGTTTAACCACGACTGGTTTGTTTTTGTTTTTGTTGAAGGAAATTTAGACTTAGGTGTAATACGTACGGGTTCAGCTCTGACATAGCTATCCTAATTGTAGGACTGCATCGTTTCGCAAGGTTAGTAATTTCTTTGTAAGGTTGATTCTTTGTAATTTTTGCTTTTTTGTGTCTTTTGCTCTGAGAACGATGTTACCAGTGTGTTTGCTTTTTCATTTTTACTTGCACTTTAGACTTTAATGATTTTAAAATTCTTTCTTTCTTTTTTCTTTTCTTTTCTTCTCTTTTCTTTTCTTTTCTTTTCTTTTTTTTTTTTTTTGACAGTTTTGCTCTTGTTGCCCAGGCTGGTGCAATGGCACGATCTCATCTCACCACAACCTCCACCTCCCAGGTTCAAGCGATTCTCCTGCCTCAGCCTCCTGAGTAGCTGTTGACTACAGGTGCCCGCCACCACATCCGGCTGACTTTTTATATTTTTAGTAGAGACGGGGTTTCTCCATATTGGCCAGGCTGGTCTCAAACTCCTGACCTTAGGTGATCCACCTGCCCCGGCCTCCCAAAGTGCTGGGATTACAAGCGTGAACCACCATTTTATTTTAGCTACGCCTAAAATTTTAGCTACGCCTAAAATTAGATTTTTATTTAAATGTTATGTGTTTTTTTCTTTTAATTTTGAGAGTGTCTCAGCTTCGTGTTCCTCGACTTCCATTCTTTCAGTAGCTGGAGAGCCCAGCTCAATCTCAGGTTCTCTGGTGTTAAGTCCCGGGTTCTGTCTAGTGTCTGTGCTTCTTACGCGAAGCTGACGGATTAGCATCATCACTTTTGCCAGTAGTGCTCACTTGGCGTTTTCTCAGTTGCTGCACCATTGTTAGCGCCTAAAGTGACATTTTCCTTTCGCAGGACCGGCAAGTTCTTTGTGCTGTCACTTTCTGGGTTCTAGCACCGCTAGTATCTTGTAGGAACTTCCTGAAGCTTGTTTTTATGTCGCAGAACGGTGATTGCACGAGCCTCTGTACCTGCTAGTAATTCCGTAGTACCATTAGCCGGAGCTTTTTCTGTCACAACACATTAAAATGGGTTAAAATACATTAAACGGATTAAAACATATTAAAATGTCAAAAAACATTTCAACTGAGTCGGTTCATTCCTCCAGGCAGGATGTTCGGGTGGGGAAGCACCACCCTTCTCTAAGAGTCTGCAGATTCTCTCTAGCAGCACCATTTGCGGTGCAAAAACGGGTATTTGTTTGGCAACACCAGTGCTATACGCAGGGTGCTGGCACTTGCTACGTTCAGTTTCTCGTTAGCGAGGTCATTAGTAGGAAAGAGCCCTAGCGCACAGTTTTCTGGTGGCAGCAGTGCTTATTGTTTTTGTCCCCTGAAGCGCTCTTTAATCCCAGGGTTCTGTAGCACTATTTCTGTCTAAGGTTTGCTTAGTATCCGTTTCATTTTGGTTTCTTTTCTCGCGATGTTTTTCTGTCGGAATTACGGTTATGGTTTTATGTACTCTCATGTACATAACCGTTTTTCATGTGTCTACTAATTTTCGTACATTTGTTTTCTTTCCCTTCCCTCCCTCCCTCCCTCCCTCCCTCCCTTCCTTCCTTCCTTCCTTCCTTCCTTCCTTCCTTCTCGGCTTACTGTGATCTCCGCCTCACAGGTTCAAGCAATTCTCCTGCCTCAGACTCCTGAGTGGCTGGCATTACAGGCCCACACCACCATGCCTGGCTCATTTTTGTACTTTTAGTAGAGACGGGGTTTCACCATGTTGGTCAAACTGGTCTCGAACTCCTGACCTCGGCCTCCCAAAGTGCTGGGATTACAGGCGTCAGCCACCACACCCAGCCTATTGAGTTTCTTAATATCTGGCTGGCCTCTGCCCATGGGCTCTGGAAAGCATAAATACCCAGAGTGAAGGGGTGGCCAGCCCCTCCACAACCTGTGGGTCTTTCTCATCAGTTGGGAAGAGAGACTGAGAAAAGAAATAAGACACAGAGACAAAGTATAGAGAAAGAAAAGTGGGCCCAGGGGACCAGAGCTCAGCATAGGGAGGACCAGCGCCAGCAGTGGTCTCTGAGTTCCCTCGGTATTTTTTGATCACTGTCTCTACCATCTCAGAGAGGGGGATGTGGCAGGACTATAGGGTAATGGTGGAGAGTCAGCAGGAAAACATGTGAGTAAAGATCTCTGTGTCATAAATAAGTTTAAGGAAAGGTGCTGTGCCTTAATGTGCACGTAGGCCAGATTTATGTTTGACTTTACACAAACATCTCGGTGCATTAAGGAGCAGTATTGCCACCAGCATGTCTCACCTCCAGCTATAAGGCAGTTTTCTCCTATCTCAGTAAATAGAACCTAAGACTGGGTTTTACACCAAGACATTCCATTCCCAGGGATGAGCTGGAGACAGATGCCCTCCTCTTATCTCAACTGCAAAGAGGCCTTCCTCTTTTACTAATCCTCCTCAGCACAAACCCTTTATGGGTGTTGGACTGAAGGTCAGGTCTTTCCCTTCCCATGAGGCCATATTTCAGGCTATCATATGGGGAGAAACCTTGGACAATACCTGGCTTTCCTAGGAAGAGGTCCCTGCGGCCTTCCGCAGTGTTTTGTGTCCCTGGGTACTCGAGGTTAGAGAATGGTGATGACTTTTACCAAGCATACTGCCTTCAAGCACTTTTTTTTTTTTTTTTTTTAAACAAAGCACATCCTGCACAACCCTAAATCCATTAAACCTTGAGTCAACACAGCACATATCTCTGCAAGCACAGGGTTGGGGCTAGTGTTACAGATTAACAGGATCTCAAGGCAGAAGAATTTCTCTTAGTACAGAACAAAATGGAGTCTCCTATGTTTACTTCTTTCTACATGGATACAGTAACAGTCTGATCTCTTTTTTTCCCACACAGAGTGATGGTAGCGCTGAAGGCTGTCCCTCCTCAATCAGAGCAAACATTTGTTTCCTCCTGGTCTGAGGCTTAAGCAATGGAGCAACATTTTCTTGGCTGTGTGAAGCATGTTTCGGATTCCGCAGAGGTGGCGCCAGAGCCCCAGCCTCCGCCTATTGTGAGTTCAAAAGATTGTGGTCCGTGGCCTCTTTCTATGTATCCAGTAGCAGGAGAGTACTCATTGGACAGCTGTGATTTGGGACTGCTTTCCAGTCCTTGCTGGCGGCTACCTGGAGTCTACCCGCAAAACGGACTCTTTCCCGGAGTTCAGGGCACCTTAGAACCAAGTACAATGGAGCCCACGAGTTCAGTTGGCCCGGGACACAGAAGCTGTAAGAGGCACCTGTAGAAGAGGTGGACAGCTCAGAGGAAGCCCACAGATTCACGCTCCAGCAGCTTCCCTGGTGCAGTCCTCCCCACTCCAGGGACAAATAGCATGAAACCCAGGCCTCTGAAGTCGGGCGCCTTTCAGGGTGCCGCCATCCTCCTGTCTTGAAGTGGTGGTGCCACCACCTGGGTTTCTCAGGCTGCCTGGAGTGGATTCATCACCTTGGTTGTGCCCATTCTCTGTACGCTGGGGGTGCTGCCCAGGGACCTTTGGAGTCAAGAAGCTTTAGATAGCAGCAGGAGCCATTTTGGATTCTCCTCCTTGAAAAGATTCTCAGTTACAAAATGTCTTCATTTAGAAAGTAAAAATACATTTAGATGTGCTTTCAGTGCTCATGGTCAATTTTAAAATTTTCTTTTTCCTGACCTTTCTCCATGGTGTCCGGTCGCTTATTGCAGTTTCCGTTTATTTTGAACATTTATGTTTATTTCATTATATGTTTCATTTAACAATTTTATTTCTATCCGTTTCAACTCTGAGAAATCTATTTTATGATTTTAGAATTATTCAGAGTGTTGGCATATTTAAACTTTGTTTTCCATTTTATTTTTAATTATATTTGTACTATTTTTCAAGTTATTGCTTTTTAAGTATATCATGTTTGTTTTCATTTAATTTTATTTCACATCTTTGGGTTATTAGAACGTCTTTTTAATTACTAATTTTATTTTTGTTTTAACAGCTGCCTTTGTTTTTACAGTATAGCAATTCATTGTGTTTCACACTGAGGTATTTTATTTGCAGTCGTAAGATTGAGGGGTTTGGCCGGGCACGGTGGCTCACACCTGCAATCCCAGCACTTTGGGAGGCCAAGGCGGACGAATCACGAGGTCAGGAGATCGAGATTATCCTGGCTAACACGGTGCAACCCTGTCTCTACTAAAAAATATATAAACACACACACACACACACACAATTAGCCGGGGGTGGTGGTGGGCGCCTATAGTCCCAGCTACTTGGGAGGCTGAGCCAGGAGAATGGCATGAACACGGGAGGAACTAACAGTGAGCCGAGATCGCACCACTGCACTCCAGCCTGGGCGACAGAGCAAGATTCTGTCTCAAAAAAAAAAAAAAAAGATTGAGGGGTTCATCAGTCTTTGCTATTTCTCATGGAAGGACCAGGCAATTACTTATATTAATACAACCACACCGATGACCACTTCTTAAGATTATTTTTTCAGACGGTGCGGCGTGGCTCATACTGGTAATCCCAGCAATTTGGGCTGCTGAAGCATGCGGATTGCTTGAGCGCGGGAGTTTGAGACCAGCCTGGGCAATATGGTGAGATTCGTTGCTACAAAAAATACAAAGATTAGCTGGGCATGGTGGCATGCACCTGTAGTCTCAGGTACTGGGGAGACTGAGATGGGAGGACCACTTGAGCTCAGGAGGTCTAGGCTGCAGTGAGTCGAGTTTCCGACACTGCAATCCAACAGAGCGAGACCCTGTCTCTAAATAAACAAATAAATAAATAAATAAGACTACTTATTCATGGGTCTTAGGTATAGCAGCACTTTCTGTTTCTTTTTCTTTGGAATAAATAGTGTGGTTTATAAGAAAACTGCCAATTATTTAATCATACCACAACTTGCTTTAGCAATTTCAGCAGGCTGAGGAGGTCTGGGTTGGCCCTGCCTGCTTTGTCTGCCTTGATGGGATTTTTAAACCTCCTATACATCAGAATATAGCCCTGATTGTGATTTCTCTGCACAGCGAGTCTGAATTTAAGTGGAACAAGTATCAGTTTATTTTGCCTGTGATAAAAGTGCTTAATCCTGCTTTAAAAATGTCTTATTCTGAGCGAGTCCTGGGATAGGGATTTCTTATAGAGTAACAAGTTCATTTTTGGATTCTAAGTGCCCGCGGGAATGCAGTTTCTTAGCTCTTGCAAGTCCAGATTTAGTCCAAACCAATACTAGCATAACCATGCCTGTGACTTCTTAGTTTAGGTTTCATAATTTCTTATCCTGCTTTAGTTATGCCTATGAGTTTTAAACTAGATGTCGGGGCATGTCAGTGAAGAAGATCTTTTAGGAGTAGCAAGTGTTGGTTTAGCAGTGCCTGCAATCCGTTAGAAGTCCAGGTTTAGATCAAGCAGATATTGATATAGGCCTGACAGCAATATTACAGCTGTGAAACCACACTGTTTAGAAGTGTTTGCATTTTCTTCTTTGCAGAGTCAGGTTTTTATGTTTTGCTTAGCTTTGATTTTCATTCAATGAATTTTTCCAAATGTATTTCTATTGTGTTATATTTTCAGGTAACTTGCCCTTTAAAAAACAATTGTTGCTAATTTTTCTTTTGTCAGCCCTCAGCTTTATGCTGTCTGCTCTGTGTTGACCCATGATCCCTGGAAACTAAAAATTACTGTTTTTGCCTAACAGGCCTTTTGTCAGTGACATTACCACTAGTTTTGCCGCCAGATGCTCCTCATTGGCAGCACTGCCTGTTGCTTCTACAAAGGCTTGCGAGAGCCCAGGAAGTTGAGGCTCTGGGTGACCCCGTTTCCTCAGTTGCGTCTGAAATAGGTGCAACCACTTTGCAGGTTCCCGGTTTATTCGGCTGTGTTTTGGAACAAATACCGATTCTTTCTGGGAGTCGGGTGTTTGTCAGTGACGTTCCTTTTTCTTCAAAAGTGGCCACTTCTGGCTTCACTGCTTCTCGGCGACGTCAGATGCTTTTCCGTGGCAGTACGGGTCGTTGCATGGAGTGGCCGGTTTCCATTCGCACTTTGCCGGCTGGCAGTTACTCCTTGGAGGCGCAGCTCTCGGCAGACCCCCTTGGTTCTCAGTATCGGGTTTGCCTGTGCTGGCGTTTGTGGTGGTATTTCCGTCGCAAACATTTGCATAGAGCCAGTGTTTTCTTGAGGACAATGCCATTCATTTCTCTAAAACCGGCTGTGTCTGGAACCGGCTATTGCTCTCTGTCACACAGTCCTTTGTGACAGCCAGTTGTTTCTAGGTTCCTGCACGGCTGTTGACTCTGTGCTAGCAACATTACACCCAGCACCGTTAGGTTAGGAGTTTCCAGACACAGTTTTGAGAAGTGCAGCAGGTCGGTGTTTTCTCGGTCGCAGTTTCTACTAGAGCGGAGCTGGCGGATTTAAGCGGAGGCGCCTAGCTGGATATTTCTCTGTAGCAGCCCATTTCAAAGTGTTCAAGTGGACTATACTGAAATGCCCCCAATAGGCCGCCTTAAATATTTACTAGTAATAATAGATCATCTTACCCACTGGGTAGAAGCCATTCCTTTCCCAAGTGCAACAGCCAGTAATGTAGTCAAAGCTCTATTGGAACATCATACCCAGGTTTGGACTAACAGAGAACATTGATTTGGATCATGGAACCCATTTCACTGCACACATTATTAAAGGACTAACCCAAGCACTAGGGATAAAATGGGAATATCATCTCCTTTGCACCTGCCCTCCTCAGGAAGAGTAGAAAGAATGAATCAAACTCTAAAGAATCATCTAACCAAATTAATATTAGAAACTCGGTTGTCACAGACAAAATGCCTTTCCATTGCTTTATTAAGGATCCAAACTGCCCCTTAGAAAGATCTGGGCCTGTCTCCCTATGAAATGCTCTATGGGTTGCCTTACCTAAACACTACTACTGACCTTCCCACGTTTGAAACAAAAGATCAGTTCCTTAGAAATCATTTATTTGGTCTTTCTTCCACCCTTTCTACCCTCAGGACTCAAGGCTTTCTAGCACAGACTCCACCCCTCCAATTTCCGGTCCATCAACACCAACCCACAGATCACCTTCTGATCAAAGGCTGGAAAGAGGGAAAACTTGAGCCTACCTGGGAAGGACCCTATGTGATGCTCATAACAACTAAGACAGCAGTCCGAGCCACTGAGAAAGGGTGAACTCATTATACTCCAGTTAAAAAGCAATTACCTTGTCCAAAGCCATGGATGGTTGTCCCAGGGTCAACTCCCACCAAAGTAATGTTAAAGAAAAAAGCTTAATCTACCTATCTCTTCTTTTCTTTTCCTTAACTGCTCCCCATCTTATAATTAAGGTAACTAGATCAAGTCCACCCCAGATTATTACCTTTGATGCTTGTTTAGTCATATCCTGTGGATATTTACAAAACCAAAGACAGTTACTGCTTCAGAGAAATATCTCTGCCCCTCTTGGACTTCCTCAGATTGGAAAGATATAGTAAATTCCTACATAGATAATAATCCCAAGAATAGTAGTTGTATTAACTGGTGGGAATGGGACTCTTGTCCCCCTAAAATAGAGTCCCTCTGCTATACTTGGTCTAATGTCCTATTGAACACCAAAGGTCTAGGCTGAACTGCTCCCACAAGTCTTTGTCAGTTCTTAAAACCATATATCCATTTTACCAAAGAGGCCGCTCCTACTAATTGTCAACATAACCAGTGTAATCCTGTACAGCTTACTATCACTATTGCAACATCCCCAAACTCTTCCCCATCATTAAGTCGTATTTATGGTATGGGAGCTGACATCTCAGGAACAGATCCTAGAGGATTTTTTGAAATACACTTTGTTGCTGCTTCAACCTCTCTATCCCATCCTCCTAAAACAATCACCCATCTCATACCCAATGACAAAACCAAAGTAGCATAGTAGGAGTAAAAGACCTAAGGCAAACTTTAGCAATTGAGACAGGGTACCAAGATGCAAATACCTGGTTGGAATGGATTAAATATTCCATCCACGTTCTAAATAAAAGCTATTGTTACGCTTGTGTGCATGGTAGACCAGAGGCCCAAACTGTCCCCTTTCCACTTGGATGGTCTTCTAATTGACCAGACATGGACTGCATGGTGGCTCTCTTCCAAGACCCCACGGCCTGGGGTAATAAATCATGCCAAACACTCTCTCTGCTATTCCCTGAGGTCCAGCACCCTGCAGGTCAGCCCCTGAGGGCCATCCAGCCTTCATCTTCCAGGGCCAATTTTGCCTCCTGTCTCTCACGACAGGGGGAAAACTTTGTGTTCCTTGGAAACCTAACAGGATGCAGTGAGCTCAGGCACTTCCAAGAGCTAACCCATCAATCCGCCCCTATCCATCCTCGAGCAGATGTATGCTGGTATTGTGGTGGACCTTTACTGGACACTCTGTCAAGTAACTGGAGTGGTACTTGCACTCTAATTCAATTGACTGTCCCTTTCACCCTGACATTTCATACACTGTAGGAAATAACAACCAAACACTGGAGCACAAGAAATGTCCCTTGTAAGTCCTTTGACCCTAATGTTTATATAGATGCGATTGGAGTCCCACAAGGAGTACCAGATGAATTTAAAGCCCAAAATCAAATAGCCGCAGGATTTGAGTCATTATTTGGGTGGGTGACTATCAGTAAAAATGTAGACTGGATAAATTATATTTACTACAACCAGCAACAGTTTGTTAATTATATAAGAGATGCTATTAAAGGAATAGCTGAGCAATTAGGACCCGCCAGTCAAATGGCTTGGGAACATAGAATAGCATTAGACATGATACTAGCAGAAAAGGGTGGAGTTTGTATTATGATTGGAACCCCATGTTGTACCTTTATCCACAATAATACTGCCCCTGATGGAACTATAACAAAAACACTACAAGGTCTTACTGCTTTATCAAGTGAACTAACTAAAAATTCTGGGATAAATGATCCTTTCACTAACTTAATGAAGAGATAGTTTGGCAAATGGAAGGGACTCATGTCCTCAGTCTTCACCTCACCTGCCCTTACAGTAAGTGTGCTTATCCTTGTAGGATGTCATATCATACCTTGTATTCATGGATTACTGCAAAAGCTTTTAGAAAAAGCTCTTACCAAAATCCTTTTCAACTTTCCTCCTCCTTATTCGGATAAGTTGCTCCTTCTAACTGACCAAGAAGAGCAATTGAGTCAAGACATTTTAAAAAGATTTGAAGAGGAAGAATGTAAAATCAAGAGGGGAAAATTTTTAAGAATAAAAGTTCCTCTTCAAAGTTTACCTTCTTGTTAAGAATAATAAGTTTTAAGAAGGATAGTTCCTCTTAAAAGCTTCTTTCAGGTTTCCTTTATGTTTCATAGTGACAAATCTTTTACTCTACTAATCACTCTTTGTTGTCCCCTGGGTGGTTGTTAAATACAGTAAAGGAATAAGCATATCCTATGTCCTTGTAATATTAATTGAAGGCCTAACCCATTTGTTCCCTGATCTGCCTGGACATGCCCAGACATGCCCAGGCACATTCTAGCTTGCTGCCTATGCTTCTTTCCTTATTTGGAAATGTTACTGTCCTCCTAGTTTCCCGCAAGCAACCCCCTCCCTTTCTTTGTTGCCCATTGCACCTTTACCTATTTAGAAAAGTTTAAGTTTTTAGCCAATTGGGATCAGTCTAGATTATGCAGTCCAGCTGCAGCCAATGGAGATAGGACACAGCAGTAGGGACCCAATGTGTCAGGGATAAGAACCCCTGCTTTCCTTTGTTCAGGGTGCTCTCATGGCGATCAAGCTTACAGGTAGCACCCTTCTACAGAAGTAAATTCACGTTACTGATCAATCTTTTCTTCAAGTGCTCGTTTTCTTTGCGACTCCAAGCTTTCATTTCCAACAGATTGCTTATAAGTTGAGGGAGGAAATAGTAGCTTTTTAGTGGAGATACCAAATATCTTTCTAGGGTGATCAAACATCACCAATGAGCAGCAAGATATGGCATACTTTTAAATGTGATGCCTTGTAGTTGCATAACATGACTTCTGTGGCATTCCACAATAGGTGATGCATAATCTGAGTCTAAACAAGAGGGTAAATTAGAAAAAACCCAACTTGAGGACTATTCAGTGAAATAATTGGCCAGTTTTCTTCAAAATGTTAAGGCATGAAAGAGTTAAGGAACTGTTCCATATTAAAGGAAAATAGAAACAAAAGGTGATACTTGAATCTGGACTAGAACATGTACTAGAGGAGTATATGTGCTGTAAAGGGCATTATTAGGAAGATTGGCAAAACTGGAGTATGGGCTTTATATTATATACATGCATTACAGTAGGGTTAAATTCCCTAAATTTGATAACTGTACTGTACTTATGTAAGAAAATATCCCTGTTCCTAGGAAATACACACTAAATATTAAAGTACACTGGCCATAGGTTGTATAATCTTTTTGCAAATTCTTTAGAGATAGAAGAGCCAAATGTGGTATATTATTAAAAGTTGGGGACTATAGATAAAAGGTATGCTGGATTTCTGTGGTTCATTCTTGCATTTTTCTTGTTTATTTTAAATTATTGTTAAATAAAAAGTTAAAATGTAGCATAAGAACTGTATATTCTGTATCTCCAGTTTTCAGAAGGCCTAACCCATTTGTTCTCTGATCTGCCTGGACATGCCCAGACATGTCCAGGCATGCTCAGGCACGTCCTAGCTTGCTGCCTATGCTTCTTTCCTTATTTGGAAATGTTTCTGTCCTCCTAGTTTCCCGCAAGCAACCCCAGTGAATCCTGCACAATGAAACTTATATTCCACCATTTCATTTTCCTATTTCCACAATCTTCAACCTCTCATCAGCACTTTGTATAACAAATGTATTTCTTCAGCTTCCATGTTATGTCACTGTCTTTTTCTTTTGCTTCGGCAGACACCCCATCTGTTTACTCCAATGCTCTATCATCTTTCTTTGTCCAAACTCTGAAATGCCCCAGAATTAAATATCTTGCTTTCCTAAATATTTTGGAGTAATTTTATACTTGCCAGTGGAACCTGTATCATTAACATTGCTGCATAAAACAGATGTGCACTCTAAAGGGGTAGCTGCGAAGAGTTTAATACAGTAACTGACTACTTACAATGCGCATGTATGGACAGGTTAAAGGAAACAAAAGGTAGGGAGCACTCCAGACCTGGCCCTAGAAGAAAGCATTACCATTTCTATCTCAGGAGAGGCAAGAGAATGAGTGGAGTTAGAGAAAGCAAGAAACTGCTAAAGGGCTACTCCTCAGTATTTTTGGCTTTTTTGTTTTTTGAGGGAAGGTCTCACTCTGTCACCCATGCTGGATTGCCTTGGCACATGCATAGTTCACTGCAGCCTCAACCACAAAAAGCATTTAAGAAAATCTATACCCATTCATGATTTAAAATTTAAAAACCAACTCTCAGCAATGTGGGAATAGAGGAAATTTCCTCAACCATACAAAGAACATCTACAAAAACCTGTAGCTAATATTGTGTGTAATAGTGACAGACTCGATGCTTTTCCCATGAAATCAGGAACAAGACCAAGACATTCGCTGGAACCATTTCTATTCAACAAGGTACTGGAATTGTTTGCCAGTGAAATAAGGTGAGGAAAGGAGTTAAAAAGCATATACATTGGAAGCGAAAAAATGAAACTGTCCATACTTACAGAACATGAGCCTATGTAGAAAATCTAAGAGTCTAAAAGCAGGCAGGGTGCGGAAGCTCATGCCTGTAATCCCAGCACTTTGGGAGGCGGAGGCAAGGGGGTCATGAGGTCAGGAGATCAAGACCATCCTGGCCAACATGGTGAAACCCCGTCTTTACTAAAAAAGAAAAAAAAAAAATTAGGTGGGCGTGCTGGCACGCGCCTATAGTCCCAGCTACTCGGGAGGCTGATGCAGGACAATCGCTTGAACCCGGGAGGCGGAGGTTGCAGTGAACCTTGATCGCGCCACTGTACTCCAGCCTGGGGGGAAGGAGACTCTGTCTCAAAAAAAAAAAAAAAAATTAAGTCTGAAAGCAAACTTCCAGAACTCATGAGTTTAGCAAGGTCTCAAGATAGAAGGGCGCAAAGCCTCAGAGGGAAAAAGTTTCAGGGTCTTGGAACAGGAGAATTTCCTGCAGTAAGCTCTCAGGTCTGCTGCCTGGTCTCTCGGTTTCCTGTAGGCCCAGCCTGTGAGTCACCTGCTGTGCACAACCCCTGGCCGATCCTCCCCTCCAATCTCTGCATAAAACGCACCACTTTTTAAATTTTATTTTGCTCTGCAACCAGCAAATCTAGGTGACCCAAGGTTTCCTGCCAGTCTTGGCACCAGCAACTAGACACCCCACCCCTGAGTCTCATCCTTACTCAACATCATCAGCAGGAACCCAGGTAACAGAATTTTCACATTTGTGTACAATTTTGTTGAGAAGGGGAAAGAAAAAGGCACAAAGTGATCTCAAGGCAAAACTTCTTCCTTCGCATTTGAGAGAACTCAGGTGTTACTGTAACTTTTTTTTTTTTTTTTTTTTAACAAGAGGATCATCCAATGGGAGGTCTCAGAGGAAGTCTCAGGGCTCAGGACTCCAAAAGCAGGTGGTGGACCCAGTCTTAGGGCGTCTGCCCCCAGCACATGCAATCTGTAGCCAGCATTCTTGGAACTTTGGTTGGTGGCTTCGGGGAACACTAGTAGGCTGACACTCTGAAAGGTCTCCTCAGACGGACGTCTCCGGCTCCAGTCGTATGTCCTCTGAGCGAGGGCCGAATTGCAAGGGAGACTGCGGGGGCGGGAGTCCGTTGAGACCCTGTGCATCCTCTTGCTCTCCTGAGGGCTCCTATGGCTCCTCCTGGGATTCGGGCGCGGAATCCAGAGCAGGCGATCCTTCGCCTCAGGGTCTCAAGGTGCTCTGCACGTCTCAAGGTGCTCTGAGGCTTGGAAAGACACCTTTTCGCCGGCAGTTTCAGCGAAGAAGCACGCGGGAAGCGAAAGTAGGTCCCAGTGGAACTCTAGGCCGTCCCAGGAGGGCTCGCAATGGTAAGGACAGGAAGGGAGCATCCAGGACACCGAATGTACTGAGCTGGGGGCTGGAGGTATCTGGCCCCGCCGCCTTCTTTGCGGAATCCCGGGCCTACCAAACTCGGAGGGGAGACAGCAACTCCATTGCGGTCTTCTTTCAGCAACTGACACCGGGTATCTGGGACAACATCTCGTTTTTATACTCTTTTGGCCTCATGGGCGGTCCAAATCAGATTGTAAGGGAGGTGGGTGGGAACCTTAATTTTAGGAGCAAATTACATCAGGACATGGAATTAATAAGATTAACGCAAAGTCCCATCATCTGTGATGAAGTTATCTAGTTAAATAGTTTGCTTTAGGGATTGAAAAGAAAAAATACTACCTTTCTTGTGGAGAGAAAGGTTTTTGGGGAGACCCTGGTTAGAAAGTTCCTTACTGCCCCCAAATGCATTGCTGGTACTGGAGCACACTGGGTCCCTTTCTACCCCAGAGTAATGCTTGTTAGATGCCTAAAGGATCACGATGTTACTGAGGAGCAGGCCAGGGTGGTTGCCAAATTTTTTAATCAAAATATCATTTTTTGTGTATTTTATTATATTATTATTCTGTGTTATGTTGACTCATGTTGCATTTTAATTTTAGATTCGGGGGTACATGTGTAGGTTTGTTAAAAGAATATATTGTGTGATTCTGAGGCTTCTATTGATCCCATCACCCAGAGAGTGAACTACTAAGTCCCCAAGAGGAAGTTTTTCAGCCTCTACCCCCTTATCTTCTTCCCTCTCTCCTTTTGGAGTCCCCAGTGGGCTATTATTCTCATCTTTATGTCCCTTTGTACCAGGTTTAGCTCCCACTTATAAGTGACAACATGCAATATTTGTTTCTGCATTAATTTGCTTAGGATAATGGCATCCTTACAGAATAGTTTCAAGTTGGATAATGTGATGCCTCAGGCTCCCCCCCTCCCCGCCCTTAGGATACTTTGCCTATTCATTGTCTTTTTTTTTTTTTTTTTTTTTTTGAGCATTTTTTTTTTTTTGGAGCTTGGTGGGAATGCAGTGTCATGCTCTTGGCAGCCTGGACCACCCAGGCTCAAATGATCATCCCTGGTCAGCCTCCAGAGTAGCTGGGAACAAGAATGTGCCAACATACCTGGCCAATTTTTTTTTTTTTTTTTTTTTTTGCATTTTTTTGCAAAGATGGGGTTTCACCATGTTGCCCAGGCTGGTCATTGTGCAATTCTCCATGCCCCTACTCACCCGCCCCTGGAGATGGGGTCTTGCTCTGTCTCCTAGGCTGGAATGCAGTGGCACAATCTCGGCTCACTGCAACCCCCACCTCCTGGGCTCAAGTGATTCTCCTGACTCAGCCTTTCAAGTAGCTGGGATTACAGGCCCCCACCACCATGCCTGGCTAATTTTTGTATTTTTAGTAGAGACCATGTTTCACCATGTTGGCCAGGCTGGTCTGGAACTCCTGACCTCAAATGGCCTGCCTGCCTCGGCCTCCCAAAGTGCTAGGATTAAAGGCAGGAGCCATCACGCCTGGCCTCATTGCCTAATTCTTAATGTGGTCTTTCACTCTTCCAGTTTTGTCTTCTGCTGTTGAATTGCTGAATTTAAAGTATTGCAGAATTTGGGTGTATGTGTACAATAACATACAAGGGAGCTGACAGGGCACATAATCCCCTGGGCTCAGGATTGGTGGCCTCTGGTGTCCTGGTGCCTGGTCTGTTGAATCCCAGGCCTGTTGCACCCCAGAGGAAAGTCCTACTCCTGCTGCACCCCAGGGGGAAAGTGCTGCTTCATTGCATCCATCTCACAATT